ACAACTACTTATTACAACTACTATTATATAACTATTTAATTACAAGGAGTTATTACTTCTGTAGTCTTACTTTAATTAGCAAAGTTCTATAAACCATTTTAATTAACTATAAACTGATTCTGTCTTATTCCAGTTCATATGTTCTGATATGAAGACTAATCTACTAAGCCCTTTTGCTGTTTGAATGCTATGCTAATTTGAAAGTACATAATGCAGTATTTAAATTTAATCACCTATAAAATACATTCAATTTTAAACAAGTTTTTTTCAAACTTTCTCATACCCAAATTGTTCCTCAGCTGTGGAAGTTAAATCATCAAATGAATATCCTTTCAACCCAAATCTCTCACAGAAGAGAGATTTGATTGCTGAGATATTTTAAAGTTTTCTGCAAATTTACACAAGAACTGCCACTGCTGAGAACTGTATTTATTGTAATCACAACATATGGACTACACAGTAGAGTCAGAAATCTGACATCTCAGATGTAATTTTTTAGAAGTATATTGTTACCATCTGGAAGTCTATTGGGCCTAGCAAGGTCTTGAAGCCTTCATACACTGGAATCCATGAATCGGCTGTTCCTTTTTTAAGTCTTTTTTAAAAAAATACTATTCAAGTCAAATCTTGCATTATAGTTCTATGTAGAGCATTTACTGATCATTCTAAATATATGTAAGTGCTTGCCCAATCTATCAAACCAGTTTAAATAAAACATTTAGCAGCCCTCACACTGAATCATTATACATATAGTGTCAATAAGTATTTCTAACATCATTTAAAGCACTTCTAATCTAGTGCTATATTGATAAATGGTTTATCAACCTTGTAAACTTATGTATAAAAACTATGTTGAAATGCAGAACAAAAAAAAAAAAAAACAACCTGAAATTCTAAGTATGTTTAGTACATAAATAAGTTTCTCTATTACACACAATAAAGAAAACTTAAATTTGCAACTCCAGGACATTTAAGCCACAATTAATGTTAACTCTTGAAATTTCCAAAAATTATCCAATGATCTAATTTAACCTGATTGATTTTACCAGACATCTGTAGGATGTGTTTTAAACCAGTTGTGTAAAACATGAATTGGTCAATAATAGTTTTATCTATGGTCTTTTGTAGTTAACATTGGCTTATACAACTTTTGTTTTATTTTCTAAATGGAGTTTGTTTGTTTGATTGTCTGCATTCATCTAATCTAGATGAACATTTAGACCAATAAACATTCAGTTGATAAAACAAATAATCATTTAAAGATGGGGAGGGGGGGATAAGAGACCATGAAGTTCATTGGGAGAGGTGAGGGGATCTTCTCTTAATTGAATAGATTACCTCCACCAAAGTTATATTCTCTCCTTGGGGGCCCAGGCCAACTGGCACAGCTAGATCTTTAGGCCCTATGGAAGGTCAGAAGGATGGAAGCAGATCCCACCTGGATAGGAGGGATATTCCAAAGGGAAGGAGGCATGGCAGAAAAGATTCTTCTCCTGGATTCCACTAGCCAAAATTCCTTAACAATAATTTCTGCAGCATGCCTTTTCTATTGGCATGGGTGCGGCGGACCAATCCCAATGGAGCGAGAGAGCCTAGAACAATGCCATGAAGGCTTTAAAGATGATAATCAACAACTTGAATTGTACATGGAAGCAAACCAGCAGCCAATGCAGCTTGTGGAACAGCGGTATAATATGACCCAACCTAGAGGCCCCAGGAACTACTCATGCCACCATATTCTGCACCAGTTTTAATTTCCAAATATTCTTCAAAGGTAGCCCCATGTAGTGTCCATTACAATAGTCCAGGCAGACTAGTTAGGCACCAATAGCTTGCATAAGGAATGTTATTTTTCTCTAATATGGAAATCTGATTCCCAACTCTGAAGACCACCATTACATTGCCTACAAAACCTCATTGTCAAACAGGGAATGGGGGAATGTGTTTTCTTTTTTAATCTTCATGATTTAGCAACAATAAATATATCCAAACGCATAATTAAAAAACTATGTACAGATTTCCTGTTGATAAACTTTAGCAGCAGGCCTACCATCTATTACCTATGTTCCAAGAGACAAATAACCATATTAATTAAATCACCTATTTACTCCTGCAAAGGAGAAGTGAGGCCAGTCCCAATGCAATAATTAAGGAACTGTTTTATCTGATACACAAAGAATAATCCACTACAGCTGAAATAGTATGAAATAAATTGCACATTTAAATGTAGATCTTCTCTCCCTTGTTACTATAAAATAGCAATATAATATGATTGTAAAACATCTAGCATGGATTACAAATTGTAGAATCACTAAATAACTTAGTAAAAAACTCACTGAGGCTATTTTGCAAAATCTCACATTTGCTCTGCTGCATTCAAAAAATATCAATGTGGAATCATACTGATTACTTTATATCCATATTATTTCATAGAAGCAATTGAAATAGTAACTACTTCATTTATTCCATGAATATGAAGTTGGAGAGTCCTTTCAATGTCCTCAGATATCTATACGCTAGAGCTGGTTAAGGTTGAGGTGCCTAAAACATGGAGTCTTCAGGAGTTCAAATAACTTCATATAGGAGATTTCTCTCAACAACTTAAAGAGAGAACTTATGGAAGTCCATTTTTTCTGCCCTACATTCCTAGTATGACTTACCACTGATAATGTTGATTGTAGATATTGGAAACTCTGCATTACACCTTTGACAGGTTTCAAGTTCCTCAATTCCCAATTACAAAAATGTAATATAGCTAACAATGGAATATTTCAAATAGTTAAGAAAGGAGAAAATTTTCTATTCTGAAATTTAGAAACAAAAGCGGTAGAATATAATATCATTTTTTTCATGTGTTTCACCAACTACTATTTCCAATGAGATTCTTGTAAATCATCAATTACTGCTTACAAACAAGGCAGTATTTAAATTCTATTTTAAATAGAACTGAGCACAGGAAAACTTAAACACAATTCATTTTGAACCCAAGTAAACTTGGTACGTCACTCATATGTCAATTTGTGGAACAAACTAAAATACTGTATTACAAACATTCTAATCCTCATTAGCATTGATTCTTGCACATACTGTTCTAGATTTATTTTCATCATCCACAAACCAATTTTCTGAAGGTGAAAACTTACCTAATATGTATAAACTAGCTGGAACATGCTCTGAAACAACATTCTATAATAAATTTTGAGGATTATACTATACATTTTTGTTAAAAACTGTTCTTAACTTTCAACACTACAAGAAAATGCTGCAGTCTCTCTCCAGTCAGATTGCATTAACAAAAATCTAATATTTTTCTCCTAGTTAAGTTATATAGGTACTATTTCTCATTCAAAGTAGGAGCTACTTAGAGTTAAAAATCTGCTTTTAGTTAAACAGAAGATACTATTAAATAGTATCACAATAAACTTTTAAATGCATCCATCAAAAAATCCTTTTTTGTTCAATGACATTTTTATATAGAATTTTACATAAATTTATTAAGGATCAGATTAAATTCTTTATTTTATTCTAAATGCTTATGATTTCATCACTTAGTCATTTTAAGGGGGGAAAAGACTCTTAAGATTCAAAACCATGATAGTTCAATACAGGATTAGCAATAATCAGAGGCAATCTAAATTTGCAGACAATAGATACTGTTGCACTTACATTCTTCCTCTATAAACCTTCATTTAGAAAAAAAGAAGTAATATTAAAAGATAACCAAGCAACAACACTTAGTAATGTTATAGTGTGTTTTATTTTAAAAAAAAACCAGCAAACTTCTGAGTAATAATAAACATCAACACAAACTGAAGTTTCTCATTGAGGAATCTTAACTATGCCGGATCTACTGTATTAACATCTAGGGTCTCGGCCCTAAAACCAATCAGCAAAACATCTTTCCTTCAATGTTGGGAGACACCTCCATTCTTCTCCCCCATCTTCGCCGCAGTTACCCATCTAACTATTTAAAATGTCTCGGTTACACCCCAATTCAGAACGGCGGAAATTCGAGACGTCCTATGTTGTTAAGTAGAGACCGCGGCTCCTGCAAATTATGCACATTTAATCAAGAAAGCAGCCGGCAGTGAAAGAGATATGTTTCTAAGGGGAACGATGCCGTACAGACTATTTAAACAAACCGAGACTTCCCCCATCTTTTTAGTCTTGACTTTGCAGACGAGTAAATCTGAAAGGAATGCCTTCAGTCTAAGCAGGTCCTACAACTATACCGCCGCGCCCAACCTACCCGCAGTTCGAGTCGACACTGCACAGGAAACCCCCGCCCCAAATTCAGCTTCGAGCGTGGGGGACTGCTAGTTTCGGTCCTCCGGCAACATTTCTCGCCTACCTCCACCTCGGCTCAGCGTCTTCGCCTTTCTCAAGCGGACTACTTCTCCACCCAAAATCCTTCTAAGACCCACATTTACCTTCTGCAAGACCGCTCAAAAGCCCCTTCGCAGGAGGGACAGCAGGAGTGTAGAAGTATCGTGGAGAGAGACTCCCGACTCCTATATGACAACATTCCAGGCCCCCGTCCCACGCATGAAACCCACCCCCGCCCAGTCTCCAAAAGACAAACGGGGCCCGGAGAATCTTCCCCACCACCTTTCAGGGAAACCTTGGTTCCCGCCCTTGAGACTGCTTTTGATTTAGTTTAAGCATCCGAATCTACTTTCAATTTTCATCATTAAAAAAGAAATCGCAGGAGTTATTTACCCCACCCAGTCACTTCCTGTGTGGACATACTCCATCTTTCTCTTCCACCCCTATTGACGCGACCGAACCGACCCCGGGACAGGAAAAGCCACCCTCGGACCCGTAAGGAAGATTAAAAAAGAGCCTCGAAGAGGCACAAACACTGGCGGGAAGGCGAAGCGCAAGGTCCCGCACAGGTCGCGCCTCCAACTATGACTTCCTTTGTTGCTCTTGCTATTTTTCTGGGCAAGCACGGGCCACTCAAAGAATTTCCACCTTTCCTCTTTCTACCGAAGTCGTACCGGTCCTCGCCGTCCGCCGCGGCCGCTATCGCCAAACCAACCGAAAGGCTATGTGAGAGAGGCTTAAAATGGCGCCGTTCACAAGGAGCTTCTTATAGCAACTGCAGGGACTCGATTGTATCCTGCCGCCGCCTCGCCAGGCCTTGAGCGCAGCATTCCACAGGAAACCCACCCAGTAGCGCGGAGGACGCGCGCATACAGACATACAAAAGGAGTTGGAGAAATAGTGCGCCTCTACCCTTCCCCTTTCGTTTGCGCGCGCGCACATAAAAACATGAACATAACCGGGCGGAGGGAGATAAACGAGGGGGAAAAAACGCTTACCAGACACTGCTAGAGGAGTTTCGGAAAGACGAGGAATTGTGGGTAGGGGGGGTGGAGGAGGAAGCAGAGTCTGTAGAAGAACTAGCTAGAAAGAGTGCAGGGATTCAGCCCTGACTGGAGTGTGATGAGGCTAGAGAGGGAGGGCAGGGAGTTTCTCTCTCTCTCTCTCTCTCTCTCTCTCTCTCTCTCTCATACTCATAGAGAGGGACCTCCCGCGATCAAGTCTACCATAAAACTGGTTACCCTTTGCATTCGAGACTCATCTTAGAAGGACAATAATCACTTTCTCCCCCTCATTTGGAGCCGCGAAAACGAGATTGTTAACGAAATGTTGTTTTTCTTCTCAGAGTTTCCGACGGTACTGCTGCAAACTTGCTGCATCTTCGTTGGAGACAACTAAAATATTTAAGACCGAAATGAAATCTTCGGGCTTGTATTGATTTGCTTAGTAGAGCTTTTTTCCCCTTCTGACTGGACGAATACCTACATCCGAATAGTATCCCATCTCAAACGGTTGCCGCCCTCTCCCAATAAACAGCTCTTTAAATTCTGGACGGGTTTCGGGAAAAGAGGTGGCGGCGACTTTTATCACTTAGTCGGATGCGCTTTTGGCAACTCTTCCCTCAAAATTCAGCACGGACCGATTAAATCACATAATCTACGTGCTTTTCCATTACAACCCGGCTATACTTACAGTGGGTGAATAAATAGTCAGATGGAGGTGCACATATTAGATAATAACTGCAGTATTTTCAGGAATTATTTTGCAAATGTGCCTAGCATAGGTTAAGTGATTTTTGTATATGTCCGAGTTACAAATTCGAAGAACCTATATGCATTCGAATGTTTGCATTCGAATGTCTGCAACCCTTTGAACGTTTTCGAGAGTAAGCCAATTCACGCGAATGCGTATAATTTCAAATAAACACACAAATGATTATATTCTCGCTTCGTTAAAAAAATGCCGCCTTTGCTCCGAAGCGAGGAGGAATTCGAGGCCGTAATCGAGAGGTTAGGCTACGGTCTCTGGGAAGCCACGTGTGGAAACGAAATCTACCTACACTATTATCTCCATCCATCCGCTCCTGCATTTGCACCTTTACTCGGTCTGATCATGTACTGAGATTCTACAGGACTGTCCTGGGAAGTTTGGATTTCCATACGAGACTCATCTCTTATTTTGCCGTTTTTAGTATGCATCCAATTTGGTTGGAAATTCTCTGAATTCAAGGGTACTTACAACCGAGTAAACATGCACAAGTTAGCTTGCAGAGTTGCAGTGTTAAGCAGTGTGTGCTTAAGTGTGTGTGGCCATGCAGCTGTTATGTCACAACCAAAACTTTTGAATTGTAGACTGTGGTGTTGGCACATTCTTGGAGAGAGAAAAAAAGAAATTGTGCTATGATTAATTGGAGATAATTCTTACTATCCTTGCACATCCTACAATAGATTTACTCAAATTAGTTCGTCCCTGAAGTTGTTTTCCAATAACTTCTATCTTTAATGCATCTATTAAAACAGATTTAATATTTGCATAGACAGCTCAGCAATGGACTGCAATTTGAGCTGGAATCCCAAATACATAAATTTTGAGAGACCCAATGATTTATTATAATATATTGTAAACTAAAGAGAAGCTGCTGTGGCTGAATTGTTTTAAGATTTTTTAAAATGGTAAATAGATTATGGTGATTGGTAATATGAATATGTTTCTACTTAGATTAGGGAATCATTGCTCATCAACATAATTGGTTGGAAAAGAGCATATTTCAAGAATGGATAGCCTAACTGTTATATTATCTATTACAATATTTTTCTATTGTCTAGCTCAAAGATTCTGAGCATCAGCCCACACTATAAAAGAGGCATGCAAGTGTTGTGCAAACATCGCAAACACACAGTACAAAAACAATTACAGCAGTATCTCCAGCTGAATGCATCAAAGCCTGTTTAAGAGGGTTTTATTATTTCTTTTGAATATCAAGGAGTATATTCCAAAATGTGAGAATGGTCACTGAGCAGTTTTCCTTTTTAGTCCATTCTTCGATCACTTTCTACCAAGTCAGATCTTCAGCAGTGCCCTCATGAAACAGAGAAAGTAAGATAGTATAAGACATAAACATGACACTGCTTTAGAAATAATAACAGGGAAGTAACTCACTTTAAATGTAATTTACTAGTCATTTATCTTGGATTTTTAACAGCTGTATGGGTGTGTCATATTTTTCTAATACTTCCGAATAACTTTGAGTAAATTAGGTTGGATAAAAAAATGGAATGGGAGCCTTCCTCTTTGGGAAAGCTTATGCGGATCTACCACTAATATTTTGCAATACAGGGTGAAACACGTTAACTCAAAATGTCTAGATCAGCTTTCCTCTAGATGTTATCCACTTCTGTGAATTTCAGCTCCCTGAATTCTTGGCAGTGGTCCATTACTGAAAGGTTACCAGGTTGGGGAAAGCAAAGCAAACCCAGGATAAGGAGTTAAGATTGTTAGGCTTGATCTGGTGAAGCTCAGTTCCCTCACCTGCCTCTTATTCTGAGATGGAGAAGAAGAAATAGAACAAGATTTGCTAGGGTGAAAAGCCTCCTGGAAAATCACTTTCCCAGTTACCATCTAACTCTCTTTGGGTAGTACAATCTGCTTTTTAAGTGCTATTGAATCAATACACTTGCTTTGGTGATGAGATACTATATCTTGTTGATAGAAAGTGATAGAATGCATAACTGAATATAACAAAACATATTGTCTCATGATAGCCTATTAATTCTACTGGTTGCCATGCAAGTTTACTCTTTATTAAAATAGAAAAAAAAGACCCTAATTCAATTGGCATTAAACTAAAAGAATCTAACATAAAAATGTGAGAATTTTCAGTGGTGTTTTATATTAGAAATTCTTAATATTGCCATGAATATTGGAAAATATATTTGTACATGTGAATGATGAAAAATAAGTTTTGTTACCCCTCTCCAAAAAGGACAGCCTTTTTATTTTATAATAATTAATTATTCCAACCACTCTTTAAAATAAGAAGCACTGGACGGTGTTATTAAGCACAGATTGTTTTTTAAGCTGATAATCCTTGATACTACTTTTAGCAGCCTGATGCTGTGCAATGATTGTAAAAGAGAACAAGCAAAAACATTACCTTCTAACCTTAATGGCTGTTGATGGTTTATTAAAAGCATCAATATATCCTCAGTTGCTTTACCACTATGCATATTGAATGAGCAAAGGTAAACTGATTTAGCTTTGAAATCTTAGGCCCATTTTTTAAAAGGGGAAAAGGATGCTGAAGGATCCATTTTGGGGAGCCATTTTGGACAAAGATGTGAGATATTCAGTTAGAAATATTGCTTCTATTAGGGATCACTATCAAGTTTTCAGTAAGTAATTCCACTTAGTATGTGTCAAAACAGGAAAATCAGTCTACTGCCCTTGAAGCATTTCATGGTCCCTGATACCTTTCAGAGACTCTTTGTGTACCATCCCACCCTCTGAGGTCTGAAGAGCTGGGCTATTGAAGTCTGGATGTTGCTGGAGTAGGAGGGATACTGTTGTACTTCGTTCTCCATACACACTGAAGGAGGCTATGTGAATTGGCTACTAGACGAGTAGGTTTCTCAACTTTTATTTTAAATTCATTTCGAGAGGCCTTTATTTCCCCCTTTTATATTTTTATCATTGCTTCTGCATCTTTTTGTATAGTCTTAGGACACTTTTCCATGTAAATAATGTGCATGTTATGAAATTGGGGTTTGTTTTGTTTTATACATTGCTTTTAAATGTTGGATTAGATTTTTTTTTATCATTTGTTTTATAGAGGTCAGGCTGGCAAATTTGGGGGATAAAAATATTGGAAGTAGCCCTGCTAATAATTAACTTGCATTGCTCTTTACAACTGAAATAATAGCCCCTCACTCATAATATAATTTAGACATAAACTAAGATCATTCATTGGTTTTCTTTTTGTCAAGTAGGCTTAACTTAATACATTCACTTGTATCTAAAAATGAGTAACTATGACTTTCAAGATGTATTCATAAGAATGCTGTTTGAAGTTTCCTCAAGGGTTAGAGTTTGATAGGTTTGTGGTGTTGAGTAGATTTAACACTGCACAAATTTACTTTCCCTTCAGCTTTGCCCCATAAAAGGGTCAAGCTTCTTTCCGACTCTGTTATAATCTAGCTCTACAGTAAGAAATATACCTTGTAAGGAACTGACCTCTTTATTCTTTTGAAGGAAAAAGACATAAGTGTTTTTCTTAGGATGTTGGCCTGTTTTTATTTATTGAAAATAGTTTGTTTAAATTCAAGAAGCCAATGGGTAAAATACAGAAAATTACAATTTGTAATTGTACAAATTATAATTTGTTTTGATATAGACTGAAAATATTCAATTATAGCAATGCATATTTCAGGAGCACACTGAAGTGGTGATCCTAATAAGAAAAACAGATTCCAAATACATAAATACCTGACAGGGAGCTTAAAAATATGTGTAACTTCCAATGTTACATATTTGAGAAAAAAATACTGTAAATAAAACAAGAATGCAGCTTTATTTTCGATGCCATCCAGTGTCAAACAGTTGCCTTTTCTGGATTCAAAACTGTTCCACATCTATAAAAACAAAATTCTAAGAGATGGCATGAATTGCTTTTTTTGATGGTATATGAAAAATAGAAATAAACTCAGCAACAAAAGAAATTTTTAGAACTTCAACATTTTGCTTGCCCCATCCAAATAATCAAAGTAAGTCTCTTCTTAATTTGGAAATATATTAGAGCATAAGGCAGAAGCTTGGTATACAAATAAATCATTCTATAGATAGATAGGTAGATAGATAGATAGATAGATAGATAGATAGATAGATAGATAGATAGATAGATAGATAATTAGATAGAAA